ACCAGGTTACCCGAAAAGTCTCCAGATCTCCTGACAAGGGACTCAAGAGCCACAAACCTACAGTCTTCCGAATCTACAGGTGACTTGCTCAACCTCCCAATGGTGCCCAGCAAGCAAGAAGGTTCTAGAATGTCCATCACCTCCTCTCTTTCTAGCTTGAAATGTTCATGTTAGGAAGAGCAAACTTTCTATGGCCTTTAAGCACACACATATGCACACAAACATGTGTACATAGGTGCTCATGCACACCACACAAACACAAACTTGCCACGGGCGCACATGTGCACACACACACACAGTGATGGCCAGGCAAGGGCTGACAAAGGTGAGCTGCCAACTCTGAACTGACGTCTGAATTTACCAACACTTTGGACCTTCCTTTATGTCAGAGTAACCCCAGAGGAAATGGAACTGGCCTTCGCATCATGGGAACAGGGCAGCGCAGAGTAGAGCAGAGGTGAACAAAATCCAGTGGCTCTATAATCACCTCCTACAGGCTTCAGCTAGGCCTAGAGGTGACAGACAGTGCTCGGCCAATGGAGTCTGGGGGGTTAACCAAAAACACCCGGCACCCAGCATGTGCTATTGGTCTCTCACAGTCACCGCCAGCAGCAGCAGCAGCACCCTCATTCTTTATGGCTGTCACCCCCTTAGGAACCCAGTTCCCTTAACTCAGTCATAAGGAACCTGAAGGTTGGGGGAGGGTAACTCTCCGGACATTGGAGGTAAGTGTCCTAGTCCCAAGAGAGGGTCAGATGTAGATGATTCCCATAGAGAAGAGGGGAAAGGGACAGGGGCCTCTCGGCAGGGCAGGACTCATAAAACCCCATCTTTGTCTTATCTACTCCAGCATGGCTGCCACAGACAGAGTCCTGCCAACGTAGCACTTCGCAAACACTCAACTTCTGGCATCGACCCTCCCTGACTCTGAAGCACCACCCCTAGGTGGAAGGTCCTGTTATGGTACCTGTTTTACAGACAAGTGGTATCAATGAGAGAGACACTTCAAGAAGAAGCCCCCCTCACTAGGGAAACTAGGATGAACAGAAACCTATTCCTATCCTCGGTGGACAGATACCTTGAGCAGGGAGTATGCTTGACTGGAGGAAGCCATGTGAATGGGGATGTTTGTTACTGCAGCTTCTGCTGGCCTATGCTGACTGATGCAGCCACTCTGCCATTTTTTTCCCCTTGGAACTCAAGAGTTGAGAAGATAAATGAGTCAGGACCATCTCATTCTCTCTTAGGCCCCCAAAGGAAACACTGGTTGAGCTCAAAATGAGAAGAAATGCTGTCTACTTCTTCATCCTATTCTTTTCTTTTGATCTTTATTTTATTTTCTGTGTATGGGTGCTTTGCCTGCATGTGTGTATATGTACCATCTGTGTGCCTGGGGCCTTCAGAGATCAGAAGAGAGTATCAGGGCCCCTGGAACTGGAGTCACAGATGCTGTGAGCCACCATTCAGATGCTGAGAATTGAACTCACATCCTCTTATGGAAGAGCAGCCAGCATGCTCAACCACTGAGCCAACTCCCTAGCCCCCCTACACCCTATTTCTATATGAACTAAAAATGAAGACCCACAGGAAGGGGTCATCAGGGAAGTCCAGGACCCTTGGCCCAGATCCTTCCTCTCCATCTCTCTGGGTCATCCCTCTGTGCCTTTCTCCTCATTTGTTACTTGTTTGTGGCATCTTCCCCTCCCCTATCTTCCTCCCATGTCTCCTCTCCTCTCCTTCTTCTTCTTCTTCTTCTTCTTCTTCTTCTTCTTCTTCTTCTTCTCTCTCTCTCTCTCTCTCTCTCTCTCTCTCTCTCTCTCTCTCTCTTTCTCTTTCTCAAAAAAAAATGTCATTCATAGACAAGCTCAACCCAGACCAGGGACTCCTGACTGTAGACGAGGGACTCTTCTCAGCTGAGACAGAAAAACTGAGGAGGATTAGAACTCTCCCCTGGGAAAATATATGGTTTTCCTCAGAGCCCAAGAACCTAAAAGTTTGGACATCAAGCCAAATCCCTTGCCACCTACCCTGGGCACCTCACACAAGCACAGCCCAGAAGTGACAGATAACAGCATCCTTGCCACCCCCATTAGGCATGAGATGAATTTCCTTCTCCCTTCACCCTGGCTTGCAGTCTGAGAAGCTGCTTCCATGCTCCCATTTACCCAACACCAGCCCTGGTCCCCAGTTCTAACTCCCATTAGCTAATGGCCAAGGAGTCAGAGGACAGCAAGTGGAGGGCACTGGGTCAGCTCGGCTTCCTGGCTCCTCAGCTCCTCGGGAGCAGAGGCCACCCCACCCTGCTACTGGAACTTGTTTCAGAAAGTGGTGTCTTGGAACCCTATGGAAGAATTTGAACACTGCTCTGTGCAGCATAGACAAAAACAAAGCCCTACTCCCCACCCAAGAGGTGCTGGGACCTGGGCATGGGGGCTCAGAACTCGGGCCAAAGAGCTAATGGGACTCCTGGATGCTCAAACTGTGGTGTGAGCCAGGGCCAAGCTAATTGGCTCCACACCAATCCAGAGGGAGGTGGAGGCGGCTTTGAGGGGGAAGACAGCAGGGGCCAGACAGTTCTCCACCACAACCCAGGATTCTCAGTTCTCCCTGCTCAGAAAGCGGAGCCTGGATGTCCAGCTGCATGGAACACGAAAAGCTCCATCCTACACATGATGGGCTGAGCCATCCCCTCTGGGCCACAGTCTTCACAGTGCAGTGGCTGAAGAAAGAATCGGTTATGGCAAAAGAAAGCCACTGAGGCGGGTCCTGCTCCAGCAAACCTATGGTCCCCGCATAAAGAGAAGATCAGGATACAGACACACAAAGGGGGACACATGTGGACACAGGGCAATGACAGAGTCTACACGCTGAGAGGATAGGCCTCAGGGGCACCAGCCCTGGTCTCAAAATCCAGAACCATGAGAATAAATTTCTGTCAATTAGGGCCCACCTGTGGGGCCTTCGAATGGTTACCCAAGACAACTAGGACCACAGATCCCCAGGAAGAAATCCCTGAGATGGCAGATAGTTCTCTCTCTGGCGATTGTCCCTGGACAGAGCCTATTTCCAATATGGGCTTCCATCTCTTTCCTCCCTTCCCTCATTGCCTCCTCCTCCTTCCCCACAACCAAGGTGACAAGCAGTCTAAGCATAAGCAGTCCCCTGTTTCCTCCTCTTAACCATTACACACACACACACACACACACACACACACTCACGAGTCCTTTACCCTCTGGGTCCCAGGATAGAGAGCCTTCCACAGAAAGGCCCCCAGACGAGGACAGTACTGAAACACAATCCATGCTCAAGCTTTGGGCTAGCCTCAGCGGTCTCCAAGCCCAGTGGGAATGCAGCCCAGGGGCAGGCCGCAAGACTCGCACGCACAGTCAGAGCACAGGGCAGCTATTTCCTGGCAACTGTTCCACCCTAGGCTGTTAGGCCAGGCAGGGAAGGGGACAGAAAAACCCTAATCTGTCCCTCTGTGGGCAAAGGGCCAGCTTCTCTGCCTGCATATAGTGGCCCCTCTGTCCTGATAGGACCAGCTGACCTTGTTACTGGCCCAAGGTCCCGCCAGCTCCATCCCCCTGCTGGGGAAGTACATCATGGGGTGAGGGTGCAGAGCCAGTCAGGATCTCCCTTGTCTGTCCTGCCTGTCCTTTGAACCTGCTACTCCAGGTTCCCTTCAGACCCTAGCCCTCTGTTCCTCTTCCTTCCCTCGCGCTGGCTCCATCCATCCTTCCAGCCCTTAATTATTCTACCTTTGATTCTCTTGGCACGTTAGCGCTCACGAAATATTTTTACATTTATCGCCACATCGACTCTGTACCGGGGAGAAATGGCGAGGCATTAAAAATTCCTTCAAATTGCCAAGTGTTCTTGTTAAAAATGCAAACTTTCCCAACACGGGAAACAAGGAGGCTGACGGCGGCAGCTGTGGAGACAATTCATTCCATCCTCTGTTCCACCCCACCCACCCAGGCCCCTCAGCCACTCTGAAGATGGGAACTGGTGTGGGGGACAAGGATCAGAGTGGGAGAAGAAGGCCCCCTGAGAGGGCACAAGGGCAAGCCACCAACCTGGCGGTGCCACGCATAAATGCACTCCCGTGGAAACCCTGAATTCTAATCTAGCCTTCCTCCTCCAGTCTGTCTGACATCTGCTGATGGTTGCATCATGGCTTCCAGGTCAGAGCCCTACAGGATGCCTGGGCACAGGCAACAGAGGAGACCGGAGCAGAGGGAAACAGGTGAGAGTCCCAGGCCATGTTCTCCCTCCTCAGGACCACTCCATCACCAGAGCAAGCCCCAGCTGGCTTTGGTGTGGAGAGAGGTTGTCGCTGGTGTCCTAGAGAGGGCACAGTCTGGGTCTGAGGAGCAAGTCATGGTCCCACCTCTCAGAAGATCTCAGTTACCCCAATTCTGAAGACAGATGCAGGGGCCCCTCCAACCTGCTCTAACATTTGGCCATCCTGTGGCTGAATCAGAAAACAAGCCAAGGGCCAAACAAACCCAAGGTGGCATTGTAAGGCTTGGTGCTCAATCTAGCGAGCTCGTTTTCAGAGATTCTGCCCCTCAACCTCCTACGTATTCCAAGAGCCAAACAAACCAATGGACTGGCCACGGAACTCTCCAGGGCACACCTGACTGCAGCCGAGCAGGAAATACGTTGTATTTTCAGGCATGTTAAGAAGGCACGGTACCCACTCGGTAGCTTTTTTTCCCCCTCTTCCATCTTGGAACACCACATTGAGTTCTCCGATGTTTTTGCTGGATTCTTATGTAAACTATTAGATCCCCAAATACTTCATCTACATATCCATGCTCTGACCTCTACAAATACAGAGGCAACATGGAGACACCTGAGGGCAGGTTCCAAAGAGATGGAACAGGTACTATCAGCTGCACTTACAGCCGCCCCTTCTACAAAAACCCAGAGAACCAAGGTTCCACAGGCCAGGGCTGCCCAGTTTGGTGAGAGCCTGGCACTCGTGGGTCACCTACCCTCCATGCCATCCTCACGATGTCCATTGAAGTTGTCGTAGGAATCCCATCGGATGAGGGGGTCCGAGGTGTTATAGTCTACAGATACACTAGGCCCATTCTCCAGGTGTTCCATACCTGTGGGGAGCCAGCAGGGGACAGAGGGGAAGAGATGAGCATCTAGTGAAGCGAAAGACCAGTGAGATCCCCTATGGGCCATCCCTGAGGAACCGTTTGTGATGGGGAATCTCAACCAATCACATTCGGCCTAAGGTGTGGCCATTCAGGCTATAAAAGATCGAAGTGCCTTACCCCCGGCCCCTTCGGTTTTCCAGTTCCATTGGTGTTCTTGGGATCCTGGGTCTTGTAAGTTTTCCCTTTCCCCTTTTTTATTAAAAGCTAAATCTTTTATATAGTATTGGTCTGTTTAATCTATCGATCGACCACGCCCGCTACATATTTGCTGTCTTCAATGTCTAGGGTGGGACAATGACTTGGGTTACTTGAAGAATCCAGGAGTTTGGGGCCAGGTCATAGGGACAAATCAAGACAGGACAGACACTGATAAAGAAAGAACCCCCCACACACACACACACCCTTAGAGAGAGCATGTCTGCACCCACTGGGTGGCTGCTCCTATAACATCTATAGCCCTGGAGAAGGAGCAAGGGTCGGCTCTGGAGACTGGAAAAGGGATAGGGGACAGGCTTGTCCTGGACCACCTGTAAGAGGGGACAGTAGGGAAATCACAGGCAGGACATTGAGAGGACACAGCCTGGAAAAGGTCATTGCAGGTGTGCCCCTGACTCCACTTAAGATGCTCCCTATTCCGTAGAGACAGTCATAAGAACAGGTCAGTCTCTTTTGCAACCTCAGAGTCAATACGGTCAATAGCCAGGTCATCCGGGGTGGCCTATCGTCCGTCCTGGCCTGGCAGTCCTTTCTTTAGTCTACTCAGGGTCTCTCTGCCTGTAACCTAACTTCATCTCCTCCCATTCTGTTCTCAAATAAGATGAAGAGCAACTGGTCTCCATATTTAGAGTTAAGAGGAAGAAAGGTTATTATTAAACTGGCCTTCAGGTTGAACCACTTTGGTTCATAAATACCCACAATCCACCCAACACCTCGGAATGTGCTCTGGCTGTCCCTTCCATCTGCCAAGGCCCTCAGTCTCTGAATATAACAAGATGGTGACCTACAGGGACCAGAACAGTTTTGTCAACTCAGCGCCTCACTGTCTGCATTTATTTTTGTTATATTGAAGTTAAGGAGCTGGATCAGGTTTAGCTGGAAGTCCACTCTGATGTCCTGGTCCTGTACCTTGACCCACCTCTAAAGTACCATTGTGTTTGTAGAGCTAACCAGTGGGAGGATGCTGAGAGTGAGGTGGGCACAGGCAAGGATGCAGGGAAAGGGCTAGAACATCATCTGTACCTTGAATTTTCTCTGGCCCATAGGAAAATACAAACTCCACTTTGCCGTAATCAGGAAATCGATCATCTAAAAGAGAAAGAAAGGAGAAAATGGGTCCCAGATTCCTAAAGAGAAAGGTTTCTTATAGAAAAGAATTCAACCATGTGTGTATACATGGTTAATAATACAATACATTTACCTTTTACACAGAGGAAACTGCATGTGTATAGAGAAAAAAATATTTTGAGACAGGTTCTCACGTCGTCCAGGCTGGCCCCAAACTCACTATGTCACTTCAACCTTTTCCCTCCAACTCTTGAGTGTTGAAATCATAGGTGCAGGGGATCAAGCCTAGGGCTTCACAAGCACACTAGGCCAGCACACGACCAACTAAGGTGCTGACAGACCCAGCCCAGTCACACGTCTGGAACTGCAGGCCACAGCCTCACCAGGGTTCCACTTCATGAGGCAAGCACAACCCTTTCAGTTCTGACTACACATTAGTCCCCCTTCAAGGCTCTAAGTCACAGGCAGTATTTGCGGCACTATTTCCAGAAATCAGCTCTAAGTAAAGCCTGCTTGCCTGGCTGCTATGAAGGTGAATTATTTGTCTCCTGTTACTCCCTCTTTTTTTCCTACAGGATCAGGCTAGGTTTGAATTCAAAATTCTCCTGCCTCAGCCTCCTGAGCACTAGGTTTACAGACATATTCTTCCACACTCATCCTCCTTTCTTCTTAAATCTGGGTAGGCTGTTATTTATTCCACTGATTCCCTCCAACATTGTGCTGGCTAGTTTTATGCCAAAACTTGACACAAGCTAGAAAAGAGGGAAAGGAGGGAGCCTCCTTTGAGAAAATGCCTCCATAAGACCAGACTGTAGACAAGCCCATAGGGAATTTTTCGAATAGTGATTGATGGGGAAGGGCCCAGCCCATTGTGAGCGATACCACCCCTGAGAAGATGGTCCTGGATTCTATAAAAAAAAGAAAGAAAAAAAAAGCAGGCTGAGCAAGCCATGCTTGCTCAAGTTACAAGGGGAACAAGTCAGTAAGCATCACTCCTCCATGGCCTCTGCATCAGCTCCTGCCTCTAATTTCCTGCCCTTTTGGAGTTCTTGTCCTGACTTCCTTCCATGATGAACAGTGATGTGAGAGTGTAAGCCAAATAAACCCTTTCCTCCCCAACTTGCCTTGGTCATGGTGTTTGGTGACAGCACTAGTTACCCTAACTAGGACAGATACTGTGGCTATGTTTCTGTTTGTAGGTCTGTCAATTCTCAGTGGTTCTCCATGACTGCTTTTTCTATCACTTGGCAACAAGTCAAGGAAATTATAAGGAAATGTCCTACTTGTTCTTTGTATAACCAAACTCCACTACCTGCAGGAAGTAACCCAAAGAAATGAAATTTGACAATGGATGTGTTTCATTTTGTAGAGTTTGAAAAATAAAAATATGTACACCATACTATAGCTACACAGTTAGTATTTCAATACGCAACTGCTTTGAGTTCTGAAAAGACTGATTCTGGAATTATACATTTCTTAGACAGTATGGCCATTATGGGGATACCTGTACAAATTAAGACTGACAATGATCCAGCATAGGTCTCTAGGCAAATGAAATGACTTTTCTGTATATCACAACATAAAGCATATTATAGGTTTACCACACAATCCTACAGAACAAGCAGTTATAGAAAGATCTCATTGCACTCTAAAAGCTATGCTCAATAAATAGAAAGGGGGTAATAAAGACCCCCAGAGATAGATTGTTCAATGCTTTATTAATTTTAAATTTCTTAAATGCCAGTGAGAAAGTAATGACAGCTGTGGTGAGACATTGGACAAGAGAGAAAAAAAAACTGCTGAATTAAATCAGCCTGTGTACTTCAAGGATGAATTGACCTCAGAATGGAAGCCAGGACATGTGGTACACTGGGGAAGAGGTTTTCTTTTGTTTCCACAGGAGAAGAAAAATTATGAATACCATCAAAATGGATAAAGATTAGATTCAAACAGGAGAGACCTCTTGATGAAAAGAGGCGATAGTTCATCAATTACAGTGGCCATTCAATCTAAACTAATGTATAAGACTAACAAATGCTTTTCATTTTATCAGATATAACCTGCCAAAAAGGAAAATTCCCAAAGTTAGGGTTGGGGCAGGGTTTTGTTTTTGCCTTTCCAGGAGAATGAAGGCATCCAATTAAGGAATCTGAAGACCACTGGACAAGGCAGACATCTGAAGAAAAAGGGTGAATCATCCAGAGAAAATGTCTCAAGAAGAATAAATTGGCCTAATGGTATATCACATTTCCAACAGGATAAAATTTCATAAATCTTCCCAAATGTTTGTTTCTGCTGTTGTCTACAGACATATAAGATAAATGATCTTCTTGTAGTCCCAGTGCAATTAAAAATTAAAGTTGGCTTTGGAATTGGAATGGCTCTCTCCTTCTCTAAACCCAAGCGTACTTCTTAAAGGAAAATCTAAAATCTCTGTCTCATGTCAGGAGAGCTACCTGGTATAGGACAGAAGAAAAAACAAATTTAAGGGACTATTCTATTATCACTAATCTCATAATCCTTTGGTTTTATTTTGACTTTTGAAAGTTTTTCTTAAGGCATAAATATTATCTTCAAGTTTGTAAGATTAATACATTTTTAAAAACATTTCTGTCATGATATTAATGATCTTATCAAGTACCAACTAATTCTAGAAAAAGGCTTCATCTAGCTTTCTGTACATGATTTCAGGTTTGAGTCTCTATCAGGTAACTAGGAATTAAGTTTGTATACTCTGGATGTACTTAACAAATAGTCCTTTAACCTTTCCAAGATCTGCTGCATACGACACATAAAATGTTTAAGTTTTCAGCAATGAACCATGGCCATTCCTAACAGTGACCTCTGAAGTCTCTAAAAAGATGATGGGACCCCACAACAACAATTCCACATGGATGGGTGACACCACTAAGCTGACAAACACCACCCAAAGATAAGCTTTGGATACAAACTGCTCATGACAATTTCAAGATGGCTAGTTGAGATGGTTCAGCCTTAAGCACCACTCCAGCCAGGATTTCAGATAGGCCAGCCCTACACTTTCCCATTACACAGAGACTGGCAACAAATGATACAGCTAGATCTCCCAGACTTGACCATTATCTCAATTTTCTCAGGGTCCCCTAGAGATGCTGTTGCCCCCCCAACCCAGAAAACAAGAAGAAATCTAGAGAACATAATGCCCACATTCCCAAGAGGTGGGGTAGATAATTTTTAGTCATTCAGTGGATTATGGATATTTATCACCATTTAGAGGGGTTGGTTACTAGTTGTTATCGGTAATGGTCAAGAAAAAAAGCTGAACAAAGGAGATTAGACCAGAGATCTTGTTCTGAAAACAAAAAGAGAGACTATTGAAATGATAGGATAAAAGGGTAGATTATTGAATCTACTTTTAAACCAAAAAAGCAACTACTAGTCTTAAATATTTTACATTGATGTGGAGTTTTGTATATTGATACAAATTTAAGGTTATTTTTGTTATACTGTATATGTTTCTATTCTTGTTTAAGATATTCTTGTATATTGATACAAATTTAAGGTTATTTTTGTTAGAACCTACTGTACACACGTTTCTACTCTTGTTTAAGGTATTGTACCTATGCAGCTCATTTACCAGAGTAATGTACATTTCTAGTCCTTGAAAGTTATTATTACAAACTACTTAGGATAATAAAGAAATGCATGTTAGCAGTTAGTCACTTATTACAATCAAATTTGTGGTCATCTTAGGTATGTTTTCAAGGTCAAACAGGTGGACTTCAAACACTTCAGAAACCTACAGAACAGGGCATGTTTTAATAATATAAGATTTTTTATGACAATGGGACATGTCTGCTCCTGGCAGCACCAATATACTTCAGAGAAGATGATGGACATTGAAGAAACTCCATATGGAGTTTGCTTTCTTTGCAGCAAAAGTTAGCCACTGGGCAAGAAAATGCCCTTGCCTTGACTGCTGACAGTTTGCTGTCCTAATTGGACAAGCAGGACACAAAAGGAAGTGACTAACAAACTTTGCCAAGACAAAGTGGAACAGTGATTCAAAATTCCTGCTTCACAGAAATGTCTGTCAGATATTCTAGGCCTGTAGGCTGAAGATGGATGCCCCAGAGTTGCAGAAGAACCTTGGGTGAATGTTCAGGCAGCCAGCTGTTTCTGTCATTTCTATGGTTTTGGAAGTTGTCTGTTCTGCACTTTCTGTTTACACAAGTAATACTATATCCTTCTTGGGTCTCTGATGGAATTGAAGGCTAGATAGTATAGTTTTCATTGTTACCAAATTCAGAAAAGAAACTCATAAAAGATATATAAAGTGTATCAGGTTGAGAGACATAAAAGGATAGTTTGGGGTTGGTAATATAAGTTAGGATAGACAGTGAATTAGGTACCTAACTTTGGACTCACCAAGATAGAATAGATAACAGAGCATTTTCTCTGAATTTGCCAAATGCAAATGGACTGGACATTATGAATGTAATTCTTCCCTGGTAATTGTTCTTATTGTACATAGTCTTACTATGTTAGAATTAAAACCTTCTCTTTTAATTAAGACAAAAGAGGGAAATGTGTGATATTTTGATTACATCTTAACAATAAAGTTTGCTGTGAATCAGGGGGCAGAGCTAGCTGCTAGTTGACCAAAATTAATCATAGAGGTTTTGTTAGACTCAGGACAGACAGAGAGATAGGAAGTAATTAGGCAGGATTTAAAGAGGATCTCAGTTCTTTTGGATGGAGGAACAGAAGAGACAGGAGGTCAATGGTTGCTTCTCCGCCACTGCTCTGATCATTCAGGTTCTTACCCTGATATCTGACTCCCGATTTTTTTATTGATAAAGAATAATTAGATAAGTGCAACACTTGCGCCATGCAAGAGGGAACTGGGATCCCCTTCTCTCTGTGTCTCCTCAACCTCTTCTTTACTTTGCCAGCTCCACCTTCCTCTCCCCTCAAGACTGATTACAATCTGTCCTGAAACTCATAGCATGCTGCTCCTCCTGTCTCGGATGCAAAGAGAGCTCTCATACAACATCCTTTCCCACCACGTGTGTCAGAGTACACAGGAGAACCACCCCTCCATGAGCTGGCTCCTCCAGGCTTTCTGCCTGATTCTAGGCTGTTGGAGGTCACCACCCATTACCTGTAGGAAGAGGTCCCAACAAAGATCACATCTGTTCTGTGGGATATCACCATGCTATGCGTGTGTTCATCTCTATTCACACCAATTCGTAATTGTTTGTGTACCTCCCATGAGACTGTGGACTCTCAGAGGCTTTGATTTTGTATCTCCATGATCTAGACCATGTTTGCTTAATGGATGAGTGTGTAGGTGGGTGGACAGGTGAGTGTACTAATGGGTGGATAGTGAATGTATGATGTGGGATTCCCCTCTGTATGCTGTGACTATGTTTTATTGCCATTGGTTAATTAAAAAGCTTCTTTCAGTCAATGGCTTAACAGAGTAAAGCCAGGCAGAAAATCTGAACAGAGGTGTAGATATAGAGTAGCTGGAGTCAAGGAGACACATGTAGCTGCCAAAGAAGATAGACGCCCCAGAACCTTACCAGTAAACCATAAGCATCATGGTAAATATAAAATAATAGGAATGGGTTAATTTAAGATATAAGAGTCAGCCAGGAATATGTTTAAGTCATTGGCCCAGCAGTGTTGTAATTAATAAAGTTTCTGTGTGATTATTTCAGGTCTGGGCAGCCAGGAAATGAACGAGCAGTCTCCGCCTACAAATGTATGTGTGGATGGATGCACACATGCATTAGCAGGTGAGGTGAGTAACTGTGTGGGTAGATGGATGGATGGAGAGATGAATGGGCAGACAGACCAATGTGTAGATAGCACCACAAAAGTGCAGGTGGATGGACAAAAGATGGTGTGTTAATAGGTAGGGTTAATGGAAGAAATGTGCAGATGGATGTATGCATGAATAGAGACATTAATATGGAATACACACACACACACACACACACACACACACGCACGCACGCACGCACGCACGCACACACATGCACTCCAGTCCTGAAGGTGATTTAGGCAGAGTCTTAAGTGAATAGAAGACCCTGGCCTCCCTGACTACACTTCTTCCTCCTTATTACCACCATCCCTACATGCACCCTTCTGATGCTTGTTTTCTGCCACAGCTGCCTCCTCAAAATTTTTTAGCTTTACCGAACAGAGACCACATCATGTTTCTCTTTGACTCCAGCACTTAATACCGAGCCCAATATTAAGATACTGTGAACGCTGGAACTCTAACTCCCATCGGTCACGTGGAGCAAGGGAGCAGGACAAGATGGAGACAATCTAGAGCAATCACTGGAGAAGGGTGGGGGTCTCCAAACAGCCCAGGGGTTGTTGAGGTGCAGGGGTGGACTGAGAGGAAGTGATCTTGATCTCTTTTACAACACAAATGCCAAGACCACCCCAGTCCCGCCATGATTCTCCCTCAGTTTTCTCGAACTGACATCAAGAATCCCGAGACTTGACAAACCATGTGGCTCAGGAGAGACGGCCCCTGCATCCACCACAGCATTCCACACTGGACTCCTCCCCTGCGACAGGAGCCCCATCTTGCCCCATCAGGGAGCCCACCTTTGAAGGCTTCATCCAGGTCTTCCTTCCCAAAAACAACCCCCAAGTCATGGATGGCGCAGGTGTGCAACTGCACCCGGAAGATGACGTCACGAGCCGGGCTCCGGAACTTCTTGTGATAACACTTCAGCTGTGTGGGGTGGGAGTGGGGGCAAAGAATGAAAGGTCAGGCCACCGGGGTTCTCCTAACTCCACTAACTGAGTCCCAAGGCTCACCCCAAACTCAAGAGAGAGAGGTCACCAATACTAAACAAGATCTCAAAACTCTTTGAGAAACTTCCAGAACAGAATAAGAGGGGAACAGTCTGGAATTGTAGGGAATGTCCCCTCCAGATGTTCCTGTATACAGGAAGGTATGGAGAAGGAACCATGGGCTTAAACTACCGCAAGCCGGTCTGAGTTTAGAATTGGGGGTGTCTTGTCACCCGTCTGGAGCTAGTAGGCCACAGTACACACTGAGTGGCAGTTCCCTGAGGCTGCCAAAGAGCAAACGATGAAGCTAGGAAATGTATGTCCACTCTGAGGGAGGAAGGTAGACTAAGACTACTGAGACTGCGAGAGCATACGGGAACCCACAGTTCGAAACTCAGTAACTCCCCGGGGGGACGCTGCACACCCCGTGTTCCCAGGGCAGAGTGGGAGCAGGACAAGAGAAGGGACACTTGAGGAGGAGGGTGGAGCTCACCAAGATGTCTCCCTTCAGGAGCAGACCTGGTTCAATGGTGATACAGATGCTGGCCTGGCTGTCTCCGGGGATATTGCTGAGGGAGAGAGGTGATGAAGGAGAGAGTTCGCTGAGGAAGCAGGCTCCCTTCTCCCTTCCTCCTGCCCCACCCCTCCCCTCCCTCACACAGACTACTTACTAAATGCCAGATGTATACACAGGTTGCATGGCTTGGTAGATGCGCAGAAATGGCCGGCACCCTATCAGAGAAGGGGAGGTGTAAGCTAAGAAGTAGAAACGGTTGAGGAGATGAGGGACCTAGGGAGGGGAGAGGAGGAAAAGAGGAAGAGAAAAAGAAGGCAGCAAGAACGGGGAGAAAGACTAACTTCGTTTCTAAGGTATTGTAAGTAGACAAAAACTGCCTCGCCCAGTGTCTTCTGCCACTAGGCATGGTCAGGTGTCAACCCCACGTTGAGGTTGAGGAGTTCTGCCAAGAGCCCCACATAAGTCTAGATGACACCACAGCATAACATACGGCTTACCACCCTAGGCTACCGAGAAGGAAATAGAGGCTGGAGGGAAGGGATGGGACAGGTACCTCCTTTAGACTCAAAATTGGGGATGCCATGCATTATCACATGGTGCAGGAACAAGGGCTTGTTGTTCATTTTGATGGAGCCAGAGAGGAGGCCGCTGAAGTAGTGCACATACCTGTAAAGGGACAGGGTAGCATCAGGGAAGGGCCTGGGGAGTCCTCTATCCACCCAACCACCCAGCCACACACTCAGCCACCCATCTAGCCACACACTCAGCGACCCATCCATCCACCCATCCATCTACCCAGCCACCCACCCAGCCACCCTCCTATCCATCCACCCACCCACCCATTCATCTACCCACCTACCCATCTATCCACCCATCCATCTACACACCCACCTACCCATCCATTCACCCATCCATCTACC